TAAGATTTTCTTTCATACAGACAGCAAATTTTTGAGTTGTTCTTTCTAATCCATTCTTCTACCTTCCTCATTTACATGGGTAAGTTTTTCACACTGACCGTTAAGATCATTGTTTGGTTTTTCCCTTCAAATCTTGTTACAAAATTCTCTTCTCCCCATTTTTGAAAAATAAGTAAATTAGCACTGGGTTTCTGCTAATTGGCTTGCGACAAACCAAAAATCCCATTTCTTCTCCCATCTTTCCCTAGCACAGGCTCAAATCACTGGTTTTCTTTCTTTTTTTTTTTTTTTAAGTAAAATTTTATTTTGCTTGAGGCAGTCCCTTCTTAGACCAGATCTTAGTATCAGACATTCCTCTTTTCCCTCCTTGTGGGACCTGCCCCATCCCCTTCTCTAATTTATTTCTGTGATTTTTTTTACTGGCCTGGATAAGGACAAAGCTTATGAAATCCCCTTTCCCTCATTCCCCAACTCTGTGTTTGAATGATCTTCACCTGTTCTTTCCCAATTTCAAGAAATGAGTTCCTCCTTCTCTAAGCAACTTCTTTTTGAACATCATCTTTCTTTGTTTTCTCAGTGACCCCTTAGAAAGAGTGCGACTCCCTGTGGAGATCAGTCTCTTCTCCTTTTTTGAGCATGCAAGCAACAGATCCTCACATAACCTTTCCTATGGGTTTAAAGTTGTTTGCTTTTCTTAGCTCTTTTATCCAATGTTTCTGCATTTCAAAGGTTTAATTCTGGTTTTCCAAAGCAATGCTTAGAATTCATTAAAATTCTTCTTGGTTTGTACAGAAATGCTGATGTTTTTAGGGGGAGATTTATTTTGTATCTTGCTACTTTATTAAACCTAATAATCATCTCTTTCTTTCCTAGGATTTTACTTAAAATTTTTCCATTGATAGTCATTAATGAGATGGGTCTATAGTTCTTTTCCTGTTTTATGCCTCCCTGGATTGTGTTGCAAGATCACATATGTCTCATAAAAACAAAGTGCGTTTTTTCTTTGTTATTGAGAACAGTTTTTGTATGCGTTAATTTTATTCTTTAAACATTTTATAAAATTCATTAAACTAGCCTGGAACAGAGTCCCCTCCCATTCTCTTTAGTAGATTATTACTTTCTCAACTTCTCTTTCTGAAATTAGTTTTTTTAAAAAGATATTTACAATTCATTTATTTGTGCATTTTACATTTTTTGAAACTAATAATCCATTTCCTTTGAATTCTCAGGTTTCTGGCATTTTATTATATATTATAATTTCTGATAATTTTCTTGCTTCCTCTCTATTTGATGTGTGTGATTTGACTGTTCACTTTTGATTTTCAAATTTTGATTTTTCTTCTTTTTGTGATCAAGTTAGGAAACCATTTAGAAATATCTTCAGTCTTTTAATATAGTTCTATCTTTTTATTTTCAGTTTTATTTATTTCTCTTCTAATTTTCAGTAAGTAATTGTGCTTGTTTCAGGATTTAGAACAAATGATGGAAAACCTGAACAATGAATACAATTCAATCCAACAAGCATTTATTCAGGTTTACTATGTGCTATACACTGTGTTAAACACTTATTTTAATTGGTTTTTTTTTTTGGCAATTGGGGTTAAGTGACTTGCCCAGGGCCACACAGTTAGTAAGTGTCAAGTGTTTAGTCTGAGGTCGGATTTTTTAGTCTGAGGTCGCATTTGAACTCAGGTCCTCCTGACTTCAAGGCTTGTGCTCTATCCACTGCACCACCTAGTTGCCCCTTATGCTAGACACTTAAAGATACTTAGGACACAAAAGATACAAAAGACAAAAAAGAAAAAAGTTCATGAGCTTCTACTCACTACTAAAATAAATTAATGAGAACAACACTGAGGCAGCTGAACTCAGATTAATTCTAAGGTCAATAGTGTTCCTAAGGAAAAAGCTATGTAACACCTTTACTTGTTTACTCATTTTCAAATTTTAAAGTACATGCTTAGCTTACAAACCACACTCCGCCCCTTTTTTTTTTTAAATGTTTTCAGACCTATAACTTTTCTTCTACTCTGAGGGTTGCTTCTTTTATTGATAACTATTTTTACTGCCTTATAGCCTGCAAAAGACATTTATTTATTTATTGCTTTTTAATATTATGTTTTCTTTATCCCCCAGCAGATAATCACTTTTTGAAAGCATTCCATATGAAACTGAGAAATATATATATTCTCTGACCTTTCCATTCAACATGTACCCTTAACCTTGCAAGTCTAATTTTTGAAAAAGAAAATCAATTTAGATCTCTGTTTTTCACAGTGTTTATCTTCTTGGTGGAATTACTCAATTTTGAAAAAGGAATATTGAAATCTATTATTGCTGTGTTATTATTAATGTCCTTTTGCAATTCAGCTAGCATTTCTTTTAGTAATTTACATGTTACTTCTTTTGGTACATACACATATAAGATGTCCCCAAAACTTTAATAGCTGTCTTGGGGTGGGGGGAGGGGAAAGATGGGGAGAAAATTTAGAACTCAAAATCTTGTGGAAGTGAATGTTGGAAAGTAAAAATAAATAAATAAATTTTTAAAAAAGAATTTAGAATAATGATGGAAAATCAGAACAATCAATCCAGTCCAATCCAACATCCATTTGTTAAGCACCTACTGTGGGCCACACACAGTCCTACACACTTAGAATTCAAAGACAGAAAAAAAACTTCCTGAGCTTTTGGTCACTACTAAAATAATATGAGTGAAAACACTAAAAGATGATTGAATTTAATTTAATCCTAATGGCCAATTGTGTTCCCAGGTCACAGACTATGCAATACCTTTCTCTGTTCTAGGTAGAGAGATAGGGACTCACTGGGGCAGAACATTGCATACACACATCACACATGGTTATCTTGTTAACCAGTTTTGCTTAGCTGTTTTTCCTTGTTACCTCGGAGAATTCAGTTAAGGGATACTGGAAGTGGTATAAATAACAAAAGTCATCTATAAACCATTTTTAAATGAAAAGGCTAAAAAGAATAAAAATAAAAACACACTAAAGGAACTTTCACCTTTGGGAAGGGTGGATGTGGGACAACAAGTTTATGAGAAAAGATTGCCATTAGATTATTGTAAACCAGGAAGTTAGTTAGCCTGGAGTCCCCGAACATATTTTAAGGTGTCTGTGAAATTAGATATGAAAAATTACATATTTATTTTCACTAGCCTTTTACTGAAATTTAGACCTTCCTTCAGTTATTTAAAAATCTTATTCTGAGGAGTCCATAGATTTAACCAGACTGCAAAAATCATCAATGATTCCCTCCCCCCAAAAAAATTAAGGGACCCCTGTTATCTCTAAGTAACATAGGCACTAAAAGCCAAAATTTTAAAAGGAAAAATATAGAAGAATTTAATAGAAGGAAACACACAAAACAATTATAAATGTAACTATAAATCTATTGAACTCTTCAATAAAAGAGAATGGAAGAGTAGATAAGAAAATAAAATACCAATAACTTGCTACACACTTTTCCTCTTTATACTGTCCCCTTTCCTACATTTAAAGCATATAAACATATAAAGCAAAAAGAAAGGTTGGGACAAAACTTACACTTCAAGCAATTCTAGAAAAATGAGTTACAATCTTGATTTCATATGAAGCAACAGTAAAAATTTATAATGCCAAAGGAGATAAAGAAGAAAACTGCATTATGTTTAAAGGCAATATGGACAATGATACAATACCATTATTAAATATATAAAGTGTCCCAAAGTCTTAGTGCAGTTTTAAGCTATTAAAGCTATTTTTGGGACATCTTACATGTGTATGTACCAAAAGAAGTAACATGTAAATTACTAAAAGAAATGCTAGCTGAATTGCAAAAGGACATTGACAATAACACAGCAATAATAGATTTCAATATTCCTTTTTCAGAACTGAGTAAATTCACCAAGAAGATAAACATTGTGAAAAACAGAGATCTAAAGTGATTTTTTTTCAGCTCCAAATCTATGCTTCTGTGATTCTATGATTCATACAATTGCTCCATTTTATTTCTGGGGATCTTGTAGAATTTATTTCTATATTTTCCCCTTTCCTCTCTCCTCTAGAAATCAGACATTAGTGTCTGCTCCCCGCCCCTCAGCCCCTAGGGATACACCACTTGCCTCTGGATTTTCTTCCCTCTCCTTATGTGATCAGACTAGGTTTTTCACTCATGGGGATATCTCATTTGAATGTAACTGAAATATATGAGGATTCTTAGGAGCTAGATACCCCTTTGGCATCAATCAATCAAAAAACATTTACTAAGCACCTACTATATACCAGGCACTTGGGGATACAAAAAGAGGCAAAAGACAGTCCCTGCCCTCAAGGAACTTAAAGTCTAATGAATCAGATTGAGATTAGGCTATTCTTGGGCTATGATACACTCTAAATCAAGAAGTGTTCTGATAAATTCACCCTCATGGAAAAAGAATTTGTAATGATCTCTTATGAGTCCTATTGCAATTCAACCCATGGTCATACTTATATTTCACCAGCACTAAGGATTTTCTTAGGTGTGAAGTGTGATGATGCCAGTGGATGTAAAGGAATTACAAAGGGATTTGGGTCCTTGGCTCTACCAATAATTAGCTGTGTGATCTTGGGCCATTGTGGCCCTTGATTTGTTCATCTGTCAAATGGGGTGGGTAAACTAGATGACATCTAAGGTTCATCCAGCTGGCACTGTCTACAAGTCCTTGATTCCTTTTCTTTTGGCAGGAATTTGTGTGGGCTAGCATCAGTTTCTGCAGACCACCTAAAACCTGTTCTATTTTAAATGCTGAAGTGAAGAACAGCACGAAAGGGCTTGAAATGCTACAAGGGTATGGCCCTCTCTGACAAAACTGCACATCTCCCTGGCCTGTGATGCAAGGATCCCACTGTTGCTATGTTTGACTTTAACTTGGGTACCATAGAACTTGTGCCATGTCACTGATGAGGTCATAGACTGTGCAGAGGCCACTCAGACGATTCTGACCATAACTGCTGCCTTTGGCTGTTGTGGCTTTGAATGCTCCTGTTCAGAGATATTCATGATCTGGTTTCCGTGTGTGTGAAAACCAGGGAGAAAGTAAAGTCACCTGACAAGTCAGGAAGTTAAGATGTCAACCTTACTTGGGATAAGGACGCTAGTGACTTTTTAGTGTCCTTACTCCCCTTCTCCTTCATCTTTGAAGGAAGAAGCAACACTGTGAGCATCCAATGAAGGAACTACGAGAAAAAAGGGCTACCGTTAAAACTTCAGGTGCGATTACTAGAGGGAGGTCTGTCCTAAGGATTACAGCTTAGCAGAGAGATGGTCTGGGTCAGTTAAAATGGCAGCAGGAGAAGGAAAGGCAACATAGCATAATAGGGGACTGGATTCAGAGTCAGGAAACCTAACTGAAATTCTGAATCTGCCACTTAATCGTTATGTGAATTGTAGTAAGCTCTCCCATTCTCTTAGTCTATTTTCTTGTGTATAAAATGGTTATGGGTGTGTAGATGGAATTAGATTATCTCTGAGGTTTGTTTTATCCCTAAATTCTGATACATGCCAATGAATTCAGATGCCGTTATTAATGGTTTTGGGGAGTCTGTGGTACCTATTTGATGCCATTTTTTTACTGAATGTTATAAGAACTTCCTAAAAGCATCAACAGATGTTTCCAAGGGATTGGCTCATTACTGAATGCTGTGTTCAATGAAAGCTTTACCAATGTTTTACCATGCTGACCTTTGGAAAAGGTATTTCAAATCCATGCTGGATTTAGACTTCAGAATTTCAAAGAAATTTCTATAGTGGTTCTAATGTTGCCTCTGATACTCACCATGTAAGCTCCTTAAGGACAAAGACTGTCTTTGTATTGCCATCACTTAGTACAGTGGCTGGCATACAATAGACACTCAAGAAATGCTTACTGATTAATTGAGCTTCAGTTTACTCATCTTTAAAATGGATCAAATGGAGTAGATGATTGCTTTAGCTCTGTTTTCATCTCTATCTTTATGATTCTATAATCTTCCTTTTCCATGTTGTGGGAAAATAAAGAGCAAAGTGGTGGGAGGTAAGAGCTTAGGAGGCAGAAGGAGATAAAGCAGTCAGTGATTAACATTCTCATTACAATCATGATAGTAGAAAAGCTAGGTGAAGGGATAAGGATGGAGGATGGAAGGAAAGTGATGAATAAATTAATGTAGGGAAGAACAGGACCCATAATTGACAAGACGAGGTAATGTCTTAGAGCAAACATACAGTTAAAAATGACTTTATTGAGTCTGATTTCTTTTTTTTCTCCACAATATCAAAAGTAGAAACTTCTGGGAGTAAATCTTATCAGCAGGGCCTTGTTAAGATTATTAATTTTCTTAGAGAATCCCACTTTACTTGAAACAGGTAAAATCCTCTTCCAAGTGGTATAACAGTGGTTTCTGTGTCTCTGTGGATGATTAATAATAATAGTGGGATAAAAATAAAGCATACTTTTCCCCCTGCCTAATACACAGAAAGAAAATACAGAGTTTTATAGTATTTGCACTGCATTTCAGGAAGGAGGGAGAAGTGAAGTGACCCAAAATTCAGAAGTTTCATATTCTATTTAAAATTACCTTTCATCTCTGTTTATAACCACATTGACTATTCCATGCCTAAGAGATGCCTAAGCAATACACAAAAAGAGCAAAGTGTTACAGTTGTGAAAGTGAGTTACTTCTTCCCATCTTGAGTTCAATATTTCCTTACTAATTTGACAGACAGGCACTGGGGTAGGGTCCCTGTGATTTCTTAGTCTTAACAGAAGCCTATGGTCTCCTTACAAAAATATTCTTTTTAAATGCATGCAAGGGAAGGAATCTGTGGCCTCAAGGCCTCATGTGGCCTTTTAGGTCCTTGGGTGTGGCCTTCTGACTGAGTCCAAATCTTTTTATTGAGGGCATTTGTTCTGTAAGTTTGGATTCAGTCAAAGGGCCACACTTGAGGACCTACAGGGCCACATGTGGCCTCCAGGCTTCAGGTTCCCCACCCTTGGAGAATATAAAAGACAGAAGATTTCAAAGAAAACAAATTATATTGAAATACAGTTATCAAATTATTTTTAGTTCACAGATACCTTATTAAGAACCTTTAAAGATTAGAAATAAGATGATGGCTGCCTACTGTGGTGTCCTAAAATTACACTGTCCCCTTTTCTGCCCTGACTTCCCTGTCCTGGTCCCAGATAGAAGGGAAGAGTAAGTTGCTGATAAGGAAAAAAAACCTGATAGGATATTTTAAAAAACACATTTTATTGACACAATGTTTTTGACATAAAAATCACTTCCTAATAGCCTTCCTCCATATACACACACAGACACATAGTCTTTTCCCTTATTTATTTTTTTAAAAAAGCTAACCAAAATGATCTGTTAGGACTGAGAAAATGAGTATGGCATTTAAAATTTCTTAACAGAGATGAATGAAGAAGCATGTTCTCACATTGGTCACAGGGAATCAGCTCTGGTATTTAATATGAATTTTGTTGTCTTCATTAATATTATTTTATTCATTATTTTTCCTCTAATTTTTTATTCTGAATTTAACAAACACCAAAAAAAGGGACCATTTCCACATACAAAACAGAAAAGATAAAGAGAATTATGTGCAAAACTATGAAACTATTATGTCTATCCTGGTTTTAAAACTATATATAATATATTCATCATGTCACTTTCAAATCTATTCTATTTGTTTCTTCTGAATTTATTTTCTGTGAATTTTTAAAGATACTTGAATGACCCTCATTTCTTTAATTCTTATATAACATCACTGCTGCCTAAATTAAAATAAAATAAAAAGGTAACAATCCTTATAACAAATTAGCATATTCATATTATTTATATTGCCCTATTGGTTTGCTAGCTGGGATCCAAATTAAATGCAAATTTCCTAAAACTTTCTCATTTTTGTCATTTCTTTTTTTTTATGCATGTTTTATTACAGGTGATATTGTAGATCAAGCCTAAAGCAGATTTAAGGTTTTAAAATGCAATAAATACTCAGAAAACACAAAATCTACAATGAAAAGCCACTTGGTTAAATAAAAGTTTAAGACAACACATTCAAAAGGATATAAGTTAAAACAACAGTGATTGCCTCCTTTTGCACACCTAGGAAAGCATTTCCTATAAAGCAGCTAGAGGCAAGCACTAATTCTACCTGGGCTAGGATTTTTATGCCTCAGGCTGCAAATTTCTTACAAATATCTCATTTTTGTCATTTCTTAGAACACAGGGATATTAGACTAAAATCAAATGTTAGGATCAAAGATTTGCTCCAGCTCCTTATATAACTAAATTTTTATTTTTCAAATGTGTTTCTTGTAATATATACTATATATCAATATAATGTTATACAAATATATATTATAATATTATACACACATATATATATATAAATATGGAATCAGCTTTCTCATCTAATCTGTTACCCTCTTGTTTTATAGGAGAGTTCATTCCATTCATATTAACATGTATTTTAAACTACTTCCTCTTTGTTTCGTTGATTTATTATTTGGTAGTATTTATTTCTACCTTGATTTTAGTCCTAATTTTCATTTTTCTCTTTTAATCTATTTCTCTTTTGACTGATTTGTTTTTTCTTCTGAGTTTTGTGTTATTTTCTTTAATGGCACAACATTTCTCCATGTGTTTGTAACATTTTCTGGTTCTATACTTTTTTTTCTTCTTTTTTTTTAATATCTGAGGATGACCTTTTTTAATTATATATGCAAATTGGCATAGCATGTACAAAATGAAAATCTTTAGGTTGTCCACGGTGCAGTAAAACTGTAGTCACTGATGGTCAGCATAATCACTGAATCGAGATTCACAAATATAACTTAGTCCAACTCGATGAAGCCGATGTCCTTCGTGTACTGCTGGAAGCACTGGCAGCACATGTTCAGGCCGTACTTCCGGATTGGGCCATGCCGGTTCAAACACACGCGGCACGACCGAGACCCCCGGCCGAATTTTCGAGGGTGGCTCCAGTAGAGCTGCTGGTGACCCATGGCGCCACTAGCAAAGATGCGAGACAAAAGCTTCTTTCTTTTTTTAATTCTTAGTTTTTATTCTTGAGAATTTGGCCAATAGTAATTAAGAATTTATTAAGCTCCTACTATGTGTTACGCATTGTGCTAAGTTCTGGTGATAAAAAAAAAAATTAAAGTCCTCAAGGAGCTAACAATCTAATACTACACTCAAGCTTTCTCTATTGGCTTTCTTGCCCCTTCCCTTCGAATAAGTTACTGTTGTATCAGGCATCAACTCTGCTTAGCCCTTCCTTCAGTCACTGACTAAGCCCAGATCACCAGGGCTTGGTGATTTCAGAGCCCTTCTTTAGCTGAAGGATGGAAGCATTTGTTCAGGTCCTTGTTTTGTGGAATCTCTCAGAAAATAACAGTGACTTAATTTGTTTGCTCTCTTCCCCGGCACAGAATGTCAGCTTTGTTTGCATTGTTGGGTCTCCTCTCCATACTGTTCCCAATGCTTTCTCCCTCATTACCGACTGGTGTCAAGGGTCAGATAGGATCATGGTCAAAGGGGAGCAAAAGAAATTATGCCCAGCCAAAACTCAGAACATAAGCCTGTGTGGTGAGTTGCACAAAATATGATATACGCTGGGGTACAGTCAACAGTGAAAGGTTCATAGCCCCCTGCTACAACTTCAGAAAATTTTATATTGAGCTGAGATTGTTCCCATCATCTCCTATTCTTGCTGACTACCATTCTAGAGATTACCATTTACCTGGACACATTACATGACAACTGAAGAAGGTAGGATTTGACAGTTATGATAAAAACCATTTACTCTACCATCTTCCAACATACATTTTCCGAGTCCTATTCATATTTTTCTTTAGAAAACTGTTCATATCCTTTTAGGATGTATCTATCTTAGTCTTATTATTTTAATTCCCTATAGATTTTGGATAACATAATTTTTAGCAGATGCAATTTTTTTTTTTTTTTGTCAAACAAGAGCTTCTCTTCTTAATTAGCTACATGAATTTTGCTCAAGCAATCTCAGAAACAGAATAAGTTTCAAAGGAACTACCAAAGAGAGGGACAAAATCTCGTAGTCCTGATGGATTCACTGGATAATTCTATTAAATTTTTAAACAAAAAGTTCATACCAATACAATACAAATTATTCTTAAAAATGAATATAGGTCTCCTACAACTTTGCCTTTATAAGATAAATATAATCTTTATATTGAAAGCAGAAAAGAATAAAACACAGAGGAACTATAGATCAGCATTCTTTATAACAGTGACTCAAAATTTTAAAATACTGTCAGAGAAACTAAAAAAATTAGTCCAAAAATCATTCACTAATAATCATTAGATTTTTACTACAGATGAAAGGATGGCTCAACATTAGGAAAAAATACACATAATTACTCTGATTAAAAACAGAAAGATCGTAAACTATATGGTTATCTCAATAGATACAGAAAAGTCTTTCTTTGACAAAGCACAACACTCATTTATGCTAAAAGCCCTACAAAGTATAAATACAGAGGGACCTTTTTAATGTCATAAAAAAAATCTATCTAAAATCAAAAGCAAGCATCATATGCAACAGGCATACACTAGAACTTTTCAAAAAAAAAAAGGAATGAAACAAAGATTCCCACTCTCCCCACTATTATTTAACAACAATAAGACAAGAGAAAGAAATGAAAGCTATAAAAATAAGTAAAATAGAGATAAAACTATCCATATTTGTTGATGATATGATAGTATACTTGGAAAATCCTAGGGAATCATCAAAGTTACTGATAAAATTAATGGCTTCAGCAAAGTTGCAGGCTACAAAATAAGCCTTCAAAAATCAACATTATTTCTACATAATCATATAAATCAAAAAATCCAAAAGGCAATAATAACATAAAGAGAAATTCCATTCCAAACAAATATAAAATACATTAAATTATATGGGGATCAATCTACTTAGCAGCATAGAAAATGACAAAGATGATAAAAATTGAGAAGCACAGAAGGAACTCCCTGAACTGATGCAAAGTGAAGTAAGTTGAGCCAAGAATACTCTATATACATCTACAACCATGTATGTGGAAAGAACAACAATAAAAACAATACGATGTGATAAACATTTACTAGTTGCCTACTATGTGCCAGACAAGCTGTGCTAAGTGCTAGCAATACAAATAAGAAAAGGAAAGACAGTTCCTGTCCCCAGTGAGCTTACAATCAAATGGGGAAAGACAATGCACAAAAGGAAGCTGAAAAGGGGTAGGGATGGGGAGAGCAGTGCCATAGGGTATCTGGCTCAGGAGCAGGATAAAGATGAAGATGGAATTGAAACCAAACAGACCAGCTAGCAGCAAATGAAGAGATGGCTGAGAGTTTGAGCCTTCTACAAAGGGAGGCTATAGGAGGAGGTTTTTGCTCTACCCTCCAACTCTTTAATTAGGGAGGCAGAAGCACTAAGGATACTGATTAGGTGTGAGTAGCTAAACTGAAGCCATCTCCATGATGATAAGTTTTTGGGTGGTTAGTTTATCCTGCCTGGGGTGTAATGAAGATGATGGAACTGAAACCAAGCAAAGCCCCTGGTAACAAAGAAGGAGGTGGCTGGGATTTTTGAGCTCTCCATAATGGGAGGCTATGGGAAGAGTCCTCAGGTAATGAGGTGGCACAGTGGATGGAGCTCTGGGACCTGGAATCAGGCTGGGTTCAAATCCACTTAACTAGCTGTGTGACCCTGGCAAGTCACTTAATCCTGTCTACCTCAGTTTCATAATCTGTAAAATGAGCTGGAGAAGGAAGTGGCAAACCACCCCAGCGTCTTTGTCATGAAGAGTTGGAGATGACTAAAAATGCCTGAAAAACAAAATGGGAGGAGGACTTTTTAGAAAAAGGAACACAGCAAAATTGTAAAGAGCAAGCAGAGTTTGAAAGATGCGAGATAAGAAGTCATGATCACACAATCCCTTTGCAGAGGCAAGAGGTCCATAGCAAGAGGTCCACAAATGTTGCACATAGCACATGTTTTCAGGGTTTTTCAAAGAATTGTTTAGTTTATCTGATTTTCCTCTTCTTTTTCTTTTGTTGTCTTTAAAAATATAATTTGTTACATGGGATGGCCCCCTTGAAGAAGAGGGAAAGGGATACTGAAGGAAACTATGATGATATATAAAAAAAAAGACTAATACAAACTTATTCAAAATGTTTTTTTTAATTGTATTGGCAAACTTTTTTTTTTAATTTTGTACAATTGAAAACAGGCAGGAAAGCAAAAAACTCACCCATCCCCAAAACTGGAGAGAGTGAACAAAATGGAGAGGAGACACAATGCCAAACTAACCTTTGCTTGCTAAATGCTTCTTGATTTGACTCTCCTGTGTCTGGTTAAAAATATTTCCCCTAACTGTAGTTATGAAATAGCTGGCTGTCTCTTCTTATTTAATTTTTTCTAACGGCATGACTTTTATACTGAGACCACTTACATTCACTGGATTTTCACTGGTTTCCAGGGATCTCAGAAGCAAGACAGCCTTCACCTCAACCTGGACCATCAGCACCAAGAGGCCGAGGCCCAGCCCCTACCTTTAATGAGGAAGAAGTGGAAAAGAGAGAGGATTCTTCCTCATCTTCTCCCTATTTTGTGTATAAGAAGCCAAATGCTACCTCCAATCATAAAGTCAGACCAGCAGAAGACAGTTATTACAGTTGTGCTTATTATGCCCGTGTTAGGACTGTAAAAGGCGTAGCTATTAAATGGCACACTTCAGCTGGATTCCGGGCTGTTGGAAAAAAGCCCCGGATGTATGAAGCACAGGTGTCAGGGGAAACCACCATTGGGTCCTCTCCCACCAGTAGTGTTACCACAATGCGCCAGGATATTGAAACTCGTTCTTCCAAGGAAGATCCTTGTGAGATCAAAATGGAAGAAATAACTTTCCAGGTCTCCCAAAGTGTAGAGGAAGAGCTTTATGAAGATCCCAGTGAGGACAAAGCACCTGGGCCCTCCCACAGGAAAGAGGAAGAGAGACCAAGGGTGGCCACCCCCGACTGGCTGGTCACAACAGATAAAGGCTTCCGTTGTCTGGCCTGTTGCCGTGTATTTCTTACTCTGGAGGCCCTCATGGAACATGCTCGTTGTGGTATAAAGGAGGGTTTTAGCTGCAGAGTCTTTAATGAGGCAATGCTGGAGATGAGATGTAATCAAGAGAAAAAGCGAGAGACTCGTTGGCGTCAGACGGAGGTCCGTCGTCAGCTAGAGACTTGGCAATGTCATGCACACAACTGGCGTCATGGATTAGAGACTGGGCATCATCAAGACATTCCATTTAATCAAGCTCAGGCCCGGCATCGTCACCAAGAGAACTGGCATCGACAAGCACAGGCCCGACATCGCCGAATACAGACTCGATTTAATCCACTTCGAGCTGAGCATCGTCAACAGGAATCCCAACATCACCAACGAGAGACCCAGTTTAATCAACTTCTAGCCCAGTATCACCAACAAGAATCCCACCATCATCAAGTGCAGAACCAGCACCATCGACTACACACTATATGTCACCGAAGAGAGGGCCAAATTCAGCAAGGTCTAAACAGGTGTCATCAACTAGAAACGTGGAATAATCAAACCCAGGCCTGGCGCCGCAGACTAGAGGCTGCGCATCGTTACCGAAAGACCCAACTTCAGCAAGCCGAGGTTCGGCGGCGGCGTCTAGAAGCCTGGTGTCATCAAGCCCAGGCCCGGAATCTCAGACTGGAGGCTGAACGTCGTCAACGACAAGCATGCCACCTAGCTGAGGCCCAGCACCATCACCGAGAAACCCAGCACCATCAAGCACGAGTTAGGCATCATCAACTAGAGAGTATTCATCATCAGCAGGACTCCCAGCTTAATCAAGCACAGGCCCAGTACTATCCCTTTGACGTGTTGCATCACCGACGAGAGGCCCGGCTTTATCCAAGCGGTGTCTGGCATCATCAACTCGAAATTCGGCGTCCTCATCGAGCACAAGGCCAGCATCAAAGAATTGAGACTACGCGTGATCAGCAAGAGGCCCAACTTCATCAAGCTGCGGAGGACCAGCATCGGGCTAGGGAAACCCATCGTCATCAAGCTCGGGCCCAGCGCCATAGAAGTGTAATACGGCGTCATCAAGTACATGCCCAGCGTCGTTGACAAGCAGCCCAGAAATTACTAGGAGAGAGCCTGCTGTCTAATCCCTAGCCCAGAGGTGCCAATGCACCATGCATTACCCACGAGATGGCTCACTCTCCAAAGAGGAGAGGTTAAGAAGCCCCAGCAAGCCCATGGATGGATTCAACTCTTTCATGACCACAGCTACCCTGAACTATCTTAATTCACCATCCCCTCAAACTTTAACTGCCCCAACATCTACCAAAGACACAACTGGACTCATTAACTACTATGACATGAAGACGAGAAGATCAACACAATTTGAGTCCGGGGCAAGGAAGTCACAAAGAGTTTTAAGCAACATTATTTATTGGAAGGAGTGTGGAGTGCCATGAGGACCAGGAGGCCCAGAGTGCACCTTCAAGAGGAAAAGGAAATTTGTGCTTTCAGGAAGACAGGTGAGTTCAAGTCCCTTAACCACTTATTAGTTGTGTTACTCTGGACAATTCAGTTCAGTTTTTTGTTCCCTATAATAAGCAAGGTACTGGGTCAATTTTTCTTTCTTATACTCAGTTCCTCATCTTTATTTTTTTTATCTTTTTGTTTTGTTTTGTTTTGTTTTTGGCTAGGCAATGGGGTTAAGTGAGTTGCCCAGGATCACACAGCTAGTAAATGTTATGTGTTTGAGGCCAGATTTGAACTCAGGTCCTCCTGAATCCAGGGCTGGTGCTCCATCCACTGCGCCACCTAGCTGCCCCTCAGCTCCTCATCTTTAAAAGGATTGTTTTGGACTAGAAATTTTAATTTAAGATCCACTTGAGTTTTAAAGTATACACACACACACACACACACACACACACACACACACACACACACACACTAATGTGGAGGTCTAGAGACAAATGCCAAGAACCAGCAGCCTTAGATTCCATGCTAAGGCACGGGAGGAGAGACACCAGGTAGACCCTAGGATGCATGCCCCTTTCCTCTCTCTGTAAACATTGCTCTGAATCCCAGGTTTATGGTGAGAACAGAAAGCCAAACTTCTCATCTTACCAATCAGAGATGACCAATGCAAAGAGCAAGATAGAAGGCAGAATTAGTGAAAAGGAAGCCAGAGGAGGGAAGAGGATAGGGATGGATCTTTGCAATAGGGATAAAGCAATGTGGCATAATGGATAGAGAACTGGCCTTGGAATCAAGAAGGCTGGGTCCAAATTCTGCCTCAGGCACTTTGTATTGTGTGTCTCTAGGCAAGCCCTTTCACTTCTCTGGCCTCAGTATCCTCATCTGTAAAAAGAAGACATTGAACTTAATGGCCTCTAAAGTCTCTTCCAGCTCTAAATTTATTAATCTATGACCTCCAGCAATGGGATGATCTCGAGAGGGGAAAATTAAGACCAATGAGCAGAAGTTGTACACGGGCGAATTTCAGTTCAATGTAAGGACATGCTTCCTAATATTAAGCAGCTGTCCAGAAGTGGAATGGCCTGCCTCTGTAGACAGTAGGACCTTGTCAGAGGTCTTCATGGGAAGAGTGAAGTTCACTTCTCCAGGATGTTGGACAGGAGGCTCCTGTACAGATTATATACAGACTATATGGTCTTCTCTGAGACTTACTGAGCCTGTGATATCCCCAATCACGGTGAATATTTGGGGTTATCCAAGTGGTGCAAGCTGGGAAGGATTCTAGGAAATGTTAACATAGCCAAATGTACACTCTGATCATTCTTAGATAATGGCAACACCCAGGCAAGAGGAAGATCCTTTGTTGCCCAGGAATGAAAGGATAAGGAAGAGGAGGGGAGGGAAGAGGCAGCCAATCAATAAGCTGTAAGTACCTATTGTATTCTAGGCACTGAGTTTAAGCACTGGGGAGAGAAAGAAAGCAGCCCCTGCCTCAAGGAGCTCACAGTCTAATGGCCTTAAGGCCACATGTGGCCTTCTAGGTCCTCAAGTTCAGCCCCTTGACTGAATCCAAACTTCACAGAACAAATCTCTTAATAAAAGGATCTGTTCTATAAAACTTAGACTCAGTCAAAAGGCCACACCTAAGGACCTAGAAGGCCACACACATATGGCCTCAAGCCACAGACTCCCCAGCCCTGGTCTGTTGGGAAGCACAATATCCAAACAGGTATGTATAAGCAAGATATATACAGGAAAAATTGGTGACAACAGAAGGAAGGCACTAAAATTAAGATATATATACAGGATAAATTGATTATCAATAGAAGGAAAGCACTAGAATTAAGGGGGATCAGTTTTCTTGTGGAAGATGAGATTTGAACTGGGACCTGAAAGAAGCCAAGGAAACTGGGAGGCAGAGATGATGAGGTAACATTCCAGGTATGAGGAATAGCCAATGAAAATGCCCAGAATGTGGAGATGGAGTATTTTCATCAAAGTCAACTTTGACATCTCCTTCACTCCCCACACCAAGCAGTCACCAAGGTTTGTTTAGTCTTCTTTCGTACTATCTCATATCCATCCCTTCCTTGCCAATTCCAAAGATACAGCTTCAGATCAGGGCCTTATAAAAATCTCAAACTATTATCCTCCTCATTATCATTACTGTTGCTATTAACAACAACGATGATGAGGAGGAGGAGGATGATGATGATGACAGCTTCCATTTGAACAGACTTTCCCTATTTTCAAATACATTCATTCCTTTGATGTTTATAGTATTCTTGTGAAGAAAGTGGGTCATTTCTTATCTTTACTCAACAGATGAGGAAACTAGGTTAAGACACTTGAAAGATCACTAAGTGAAGGAATGGGTACAAGAACCCTGTTTTTCTTGAGCCTTCATCTTATGGTTTGTTTTGGGGGTTTTTCCATTATACCTCACTGACTTTCTTTGGTTACCCTCCCATTTGTTCAGTCTTTAGAATGTTTTTATCTATTTTCCAGAGGGCTCCAGTCCTGTGACTTGCTAGGTAGGCCAGAAGCTCCATTCCACGACTTCATTAGGGAAACTTATACTGGTATGCTCAGATTTTTAAATTCCAGTTGCACATGAGACAAAGAAATAATGTGTCAGTTGGGACAGGACCTAGGTCTTCTTTGCAGAGAGGAGTCTGCAGATTTCTTATTGGTCTCTCTACTTCCCAGTCCATTTTATATGTAACTGCCAAAATATTCTTCTTAAATGACTGCTTTGTGCATATCATCCACTGTTTAAATGAATCTTCATGGGCTCCCTACTGCTACAAGAGAAAAACCCACATTCCTAGGCAGGAATTCAGTGTATCTCCAACTTATCTCCAAACCCCTGAATTTACAGCTTAAGTGAGCTATTCCATTCTTACTGGAAGGCAATGTATATTCTTAATTCCAGTCTTTACTTCTCTGCTTCAACTGTTCTCCTCTGGTCTCTCTAGGTATCTAAATGCCACTTGTTTTAATGGAAGCCCAACTCCAATTTTATATCTGCTATGATCTCTTAGCCAGTCTGTGAAGACCTATAGCAGCAGCAGCAATAGGGGCAACAGCAGTATTAGGGGCGGCAGCAGCAGCAGCTGGCATTTATAAAGCACTTTGAGGTTTGCAAAACTCTTTAAAAAAATTATCTTATTTTATCTTCACAAAAATCCTGGGAGTTGGGTGCTATTATTATCTCCATTTTATAGACGAGGAACCTGAGGTAGACAGTGGTTCATGACCTGTCCAAGGTCACAGAGTTAGGACATGTGGAAGGTATATTTGAGCTTGTTTTCCAGGTCCAGCATGCTATCCACTGCACTATCAGCTAGGCTCTGTAGGACCTGCTATCTATATTAGTTGTCCGGAGCTTCTTAAGCAGCATGGCATAACCAACAGCACTCTATAGATGCAAAGGGCTTGTATTCAAATCCCTCCACTGATGACATATGTGATCTTGGACAAGTTCCCTTGACTATCTAGCCTGTTCCCAACATCTGTAAAATGAGTGGGTCATGCTAGGTAATGTCTGTACTCTCTCTAAATTCTAGATCCTATGCCACATTGTAATATTATGCAACTTTGTCTAAATCCTGTTTTCCCAACTGGACTGTAATCTTGAGATCTGCATCCTACATTTCATACTATTTTGCATCTTTGAAAGCAGAACAGAGACTTACACAGAGACATAAGGGGATTTCACAAGGATTATTGAGGATTTATTCAGACATAAACAAGACATGGGACTTTTACTTCTGAATGTGCAAATGATTGATAAGGTTCTTCTCTATTAACATCAAATGCCTGGAGTCAGACAAGGCCAAGCTCTGCTTGGGAATCAGGGAAAATAAAAGGAGGACAGAGTGCCCAGAGCCCCAGGAACACAGCAATGTAACAGCAGAGAGTTTTGTGAGGGGTCGATTCACCACGTGTAAAGTCACTCACAAGAAGAATGACCTTCTTAGACTCAGGTCACGCTCCATTTCTCTCCCAGTCATGCTTCTGACTTTCCAGTCTTCATCATCATTCTGCCCCTCCCCCTCTTTTCCATTGCCCTTTTATACCTTGTCTTCCCTCATTAGAACATAAGTTCCTTGAGGGCAGGGGCTATATTTCTTTGTTGTTGTTCAGTTGTTTTCAGTTGTGTCAAACTCTTTGTGACCCCATTTGGGGTTTTCCTGGCAAAGATGTTGAAGTGTTTTGCCATTTCCTTCTCCAGCTCATTTTACAGATGAGGAAACTGAGGCAAATAGCATTAGTGACTTGCCTAGGGTCACACAGTAGTAAGTATCTGAGGCTGGATTTGAACTCAGGTAGATGGATGACTTTCTGGCTTTAGGCCCAGCACTCCAGAGCACTACGGTGCCACCTAGATGCCCCATATTTATTTAATGCTTGTATTTGTACTCTAAAGAGGTCGTTTAGCAACGTACCTGCCACATAGTAAATCCTGGATAAATGCCTGTTGCCTGCCTGCCTGCCTAACGATCCTAGCAAATATGGCCCTCAGAACTTGAGAAGACTGATTACTTACTTACTAATTACTTACTTACTAATTACTAATGTAAGGAATTACAGGAAGGAAGAAGAGGTGATTTGGGGATAATAGGGAACAAGACCCAAAAGTTTCACTCACTGAATGTGGTTTTTTCCTAAACTGAGGCCAGTATATCATCGTTATTTCCATTCTAATGGAAACTAGCCACCACTCAACTGGCCGTGAGACCTCTTTAACAAGACTCCCAAACAGCCTTTCCTACAAAAACAGGTAATCACATTTAATCCTTATTGTATCTCTATGTCACATAATCAGAAGAGCCCAGCAGTGTGGAAAGGAAATCATAGAACCCACTTACCTCCTAGACCCAGAGACCTGAGCTAGGCCTACCAAAGGAGAGCAGAAACCACTTCCAGACTGGGGGACAATCTAAGAGTACAGTCCAGTGTCACAGCCACTTGAGGCTATGTCCCTTGGTGACCACCATGAAGGAAGATCTTCCTTTGAAAGGAAAAATTTTTCTTTTAGAATTTGTGTATATGTGTGTGTGTTTCAGGATTTAGCCATAGAAACGTAAGCAAAATGTGGTAAATTTTTCTTCATTTCCTTGGGCTTCCCAGATAGCATCTGAGAATTACAGAATGGGAAAGAAAGTGGTCTAGGAATGCTCTTGAACAGGAAGAGACAGGCAGAACCCTGGGGAAAAGGGAAAGCTGACAGGAATAGCGATGGGGCCTACTGTTGATCCATGTGGCAAAGAGAAGGTCAGATCATAGCTTCAGCCTTGAATTAGTGGTCATAAGATTATAGACATAGAGCTAGAAGGGACCTTAGAAAGTATCAAGTCTAACCCCCACCCCCCTTTCTTTTAAAGATAAAGAAACTGAGGCACAGAGAGGTTCAGTGAATCACTTAGGGTCATAAGCCCATAAGTATCTGAGGTAGGATTAGACTCAGGACTTTCTGACTCTGAGTCCACCATAGTCTGGGATTAAGTTACATAAACTCAAGTGTATGACTTCCATTCATCTGAATCAGTCTAGAAGTCATACACCAGAAATTATGTGAAGGGAATGCAGGTTTGCTGGGGGAGGAAGGGAAGAGAAGACAAGAAGCTTCCATGAATGGGACATCGATATACATACTGGAATACATATATTTTTTATTTTTTAGTGACCGTGATGATCTCTGCACTTCATCCCACAGACTGCAGGGGGCAAGTGGAAGTAGGAAGAGAGAAGTCACAATCTCTGAGAAGAGGCGAGATCTACACTGGCCAGAGGTAGAGACAAAGGGAGTTGGACATTCCCATGAAGGGCAGCTTGAGCCAGGGTGTGGTATACCACGATTGGCAAGTGTCCCTAAGCAAAAAAATATTGACTGAGCAGTACTTTGTCAGACAATTATTCAAAGAATAAATAATTAAAAGTCAAAGTCTTAGAGAAAAGCAGGCTGAATTAAGGGTAGCTGCTCTCCTTCCTGTTCTGAAACAAGGTCCAGGAACCATGAGGATTTCTCAGGAAATGCCTCTGGCATGGAAGCAGCAATGACATGGAGGACACAGCTCTTCTTGCACTCCTATAGGGATGTATAGCAATCAAAATAAAAATATGTCTTATAGTAGAGGCTAGAGAGGTCATGATAGATCATACTAAATTATCTCTGAAATCTCTGAAATTCTATAATTTAACAGCTTGTATGTATATATATATACATATATATATATATACACACACACATATATATTCTATATGTATGTTTACATAAATTACATATATATATGCATGCATACATATGTATATGATATTTTGTGTCCAAATATATTTCTTAGTATATATTGCTAATATATATCTATATATACATACACACACATATATATTTTTTAGCAAATCCATTACTTTCAAAGCTCTTCAGATCACCTCAGTAGCTAGTGCCACCCCTTTAAATTACCTTGTTACCATTTATTTTGTATATTTGCATATTTACATATACTTGTATTTGTTCATGATGTATCTATAGTGTCCCCCTAAAGAACGTAAGGGCAGGACAGTCTTGTTTTTGTTTTTGTGTTCCTGAATAGGTGGTAAATCAAATAAATGTTGAGGGAGTGATTGATCATTCATGTAAGTGCGAAAGCCAATTTGGAGTTGTAGTCACCCTCAGACACAGGATGACCTGGATTCAAATATCTCCTTGAACACATACTGGTTGTGTATACAGATATGGATGGTTAGATATTCATATGGATATGTATGGATATATGTGTGGAGAATTCACTTAATCATTCCATGCCTCAGTGTCCTCATTTGTAAAATGAGGGGACAAAACAGTATTTTGGTGCTCAGACAACTCTCTGGAACAATTAAGTTGAGGAATTGATGCGCATTATAGAACAGGTTTTCTCATCAGGAGTTTCCTTAATGGATAAAAATCACTGGTGTAAACTATACATACACAGAGATACACACATATATGTATATACACATATATGTATACACATTTATATGTGTACCTGAGTGTATGTATATGTGTATATATATTTATGTGTGGGAAGAAAGGGGAAGAGAAAGCATATCTGTATGTGTGTGTAACCTACACACTTAAAAAGCAAACTTATACTCTAATACTCAATACTTTCATTAGGAAATTCCTTCCAGATGCAGATGACCAATTCTACATATACTTTTGGAAACTGGCTTCATGAATTTCAGGGGCTAAAATACCTAGGCCTTGTTGGCCATACTTATTAAGATACGTAGTAATGAAGTCATCTCACCTAACAACAGAAGAAATGAAATAGAGAGGTTTTCTGTTTGTGTACAGTTTGGACAAGATGACTTCTAAGGCCCCTTCCAACTTAAAAGATTCTTGAATAAAGGAATGAATTGAGACTCATGATGATTACTTTTCATCTTTTTCCGGTTTAAAGACGTGGAGATCAGATGAGATGACCCTGCAGTGCCCACCAGTCTGGCAGTATCTGTGATGTCAGAAGCAAACTACATATCAAAATGCTGGTCATTTGACATTAAGGGAATTCTTTGAAAATGTCTTCCATTTTCCCCGTGACAGAGACCTTTTTCCCTTCATTCCCTATCCTTGTACAATAAACCATTGCTGAATTGCTGGTAGTCCTATTTGTTGAACAAACCATTTTTGATTTCTCTGAACTCAGTTTCCTCTACATAAAATGAACATTATAATTCCTAATGTCTATAATTCATAGGCCTATTGTAGGGAACTAGCAGGATAATGTTATGTGAAAGGCCTTGAAAACCCTCCCATTAAGAGACATGGTCTGGGATGAGAAGCTTGGATGACAGTTCAAACTGTGCTGCTCCCTGTGGTCAGAAAGAACCTTCTAGACTGACCTCAAGATCACCTCTGACCTCCAACTCTACATCCCTGGAGAACATATATATGTGTTATATAATCAAACTCACAACAAATAACCTAGGATACCAACTTATTAATTAATGGCAGGAGATATGTTTGGCAAGAGAATGGTTACCAGTTGTATCTTCACCAGCTGGGCACACCTTCCTCTTCTAAGTCTACTCAAGAGACTGAACTAGAGAAAATCAGATTCTGTTATGAGCATATATGTAGCAATCTGGTAATGCTGCACTCTAACTTTTCTTATTCTGTCTCTGACCCTTCCCTTGCTCAATCATCATACATATCCCTCCCCTTTGTATGGATGTACTCCAGGGACTACCTGGTAGGTGCTATATAAATGAGTATTCCCTTTGCTCCCCCTTCCAGAATTCTGTCCTGGGCCCTCTTCTCTCTAGAATTTCTTACAGTGATCTCATATGCTTCCAGAAGTTCTGTTATCTCCACGTAAATGGTTCCAAAATTTACAAAGACAGGCATCATTTCCACCCTGAGCTCCAGTTCGACATGGCCAACTTGCCTATTAGACTTTTCCATCTACTGGATGTCCCCTAGTTACCCCAAATTATTTTCTAAATGAAATTAACTTCCCCTTCCCTCATCAGAAAAAAATATACTCCTTTTCATAACTTCTCTTATCATGGAGTGCACCACCATCTTCCCAGCCACTCAGGTTCAGGATCTTGGAGTTAGCCTCAATTTTTCATTCTTCACACATCCATTCCTTCTCCATGTACCATCAGTTGCCCAATTTTGTTAATTTGATCTCTTAACTTTTTTACTTCTGTAACTATTTACAAGGCCACCACCCTAGTTCAAGTCAGTATTCTAGGTTGTTTTTGATGTGTAACATCTCTCATTTTCTTCTAGTTTTTCACTCTTAGTTTTGTTGCAATATTTCTTGTTTTATTAACTTCTACTTGGCCCATTTTAATTTCCTTAAGTTTTGTTACTTGGTTAAGGTTTTATGCCTTTTGAACTAAAACTTTAATTCTCCTTTCAAGTCTTTCCTCCAAAGCTCTCGTTTCCCCCCCCAATTTTTCCCCTACTATTCTCATTTTCATTTTTATAATTTTAATTAAAAAAAAACCCACTTCTTGCTTCATTCTATCCAGGAATTCAAACTGACCTTGTAACTAAGCTGTGTTTGAGAATTTGTGTAGAGGTATTTTGAACTCATTTTCTTCTTGCATTGTCTCACCACAGTACTTTTTTAACTTATTTTTCCAATTTTACTTGCAAAATAGTAACTCTGAATTGGGGAGAAGTGGAAGGGAATTTAAAAAAGGGAATAAGCATTTATAAAATCAGAGCCAGACATCATGCTAAATGCTGTACAAATATCTCATTTGATACAACTCAGTAAAGTAGGTGCTGTTATTATCCCCATTCTATAGTTGAGAAAACAGGCAAACTGAGGTTAAGTGACTTGCCCAGGGTAACACAGCTAGTAAGCGCCTCAGGCTGAATTTGAACTCAGGCCTTCCTGACTCCAAACCCAGTGCTCTATCCCCTGAGCCATCTGGCTGCCTCAGGGTCAGATTCTGCTTACTTCTGGAAGGAATGTCTGGGCCCAGTTTGATCCTGATACATATTCTATGAAGTCCTGCTTGCTGCTTTCTCTGGATATCAAACTCCGTGTTCTTCAAAGCACCTTGGCTTAGGCCAGACAGGCAACTTTCAGTATGTCCTAAGCAAATGGGCCACTAAACCATATACAAGGATCCCTGTGAACCGTATACTGACCTAGAAAACCACATATTAAAAATTATCAATGTTACGTTGTATTTATTTTGTTAAATATTTCCCAATTACATTTTAATCTGGTTTATCTGCGCTCAGGAACGTTGCTTCCTCACCGCACGTTTGACACTTCTGTCCTAAGCAATCCAATCAAGATGGTGTGACAGTTTCCCTCTTCTTTTTAGCTTTGTAAGCTCTTGACCCTAGTTGAGACCTGAGCGACACAACTATAAGTTTAGCCCTAGTTGGAATGCCAGCAGATTGCTGCTGACCCTAGCCCCTGTCATCTAGCTAAAAACCTCTGCAGGTAGAGAAGATCAGAACCCCTTGGTCTGAGATCCTTGCTCTGATCACTTAGCTGCAGGCTTCAGACCACCCTGGGGAATAGAATCTGCAACTGAACTTTTAGGGGCAATGCCAAGCAGGTGCTGCTCACTTCTGTTTCTCCTCTTTGCCCAGTACATGCCCCAGGACAGGTCTGAGATGGATTTGTGAGCTGGATAACTATTCTTTGCTTTGGAAACATAGTCACAGGTCAGCTAGAATTCTAATGGTAGGTCCCCTCCTAAATCCACACTGGTTCCACAAGCCACCTTTGGGGTCACAGCTACATAACTGGTGTCTGGCTCCTATTACTGATAGCTATGCCCTCAAGCCAGTCCCTGCTGGATCTATGACTACTCTTCGCTCTGATAATTTGGCTGTAATTCTGCAGCTGTAATTTGGCTCATACCTAGATTTGGCCTCCTCTAAAATCCACATTAGATCACAATCCAGCTCTGGGGTGAGAGACATTGCTGTTAGCTGGCTCTTATTCCCACTCCCAACAGAAAAATGGTTCATTGTTTTCTCCTTAGATTTCCTCGTTCAGCTTGGCATTCTTAGATCTGTTGTAGCAAATGTTGGGGAGAGCTGGGTTATATTGCTTCTTCCTACTCTACTATCTTGTTTGATCTCCATTCAGTACTTGACACTGATGCCTCTCTTAATTTTGGAAGACATCCTAGTATGAACAATCTACGTATAAGCAATCTCCTAGGGTGGGTTTTTGCTGGTTAATTTAACCTATTTTATATTAATTTTTGTTACATTTCCTTGTTCATATGGTTACGTTTTACAATGTTCCCAAACTGTGATGGCATACCTTGTTTTGCTCTTTAATGCTCTATATACTGACTGCACAAAGTACTATTATTATAACTCTTAAGCACTCTTCAGTGCTTAATGATTTCTATTCTTAAAAGTGCTGCCTGGCATTCCAATTACTTCCCTGCTGGTTTGACAACCCAAATTCACACATCAATCTGACTCCATTTTGTTAGGTTTTTCATTAGTTTTAGTTAACCCACAACTAGAAAACTCTCCTTTTGCAGTTGTAAGTGATTGGATGCAAAATAACTTAGGATTCTAAGCGTTGATGAAAATGAGAGATGAGAAGATAAAAGATGTACAGAATGAGGATACATGATTCTGTCATCTTCCAAGACTGGGGTGGTGGGAATTCTAGAGGGCACTTCCAGAAATCCATTTGGATTGTCCTAGTGCATAGAAGTTCATTCCAGAGATATTCTTTACTTTGGGATTTTCTTTCTCTTTCTCATCTGACCAAAGCTAAGTTTCTCAAAGATAGATACATGCCATCTAACTTGATTAAAATATAGGGAGAATTTCATACATTGGACTATATTTCAAATACCTTATCATTTGTCACATTAAACTTTAACAAAGAACAAAGGAAAATTTTGATAAATCTATGGTCATGGAAAAATCAGAATTACAAAACTCATCTGAGGATTCAACAGCTTCTTAGGGTGTTTCTGGCTGCATACTGACCCCAGGTTCCTATAAGTTCTCACTGATCATAGTACTGTGGTGCTTGAGAGGTGTCAATATTTTCAAAGAAATCAGGACATATTAGAAAGAACACAGAACATTAGATGATGGCTAACACTGTGTTCCAGCTCGAAAACATGGTGATCCTATATGAATTCTGGTACCATTAAAGAGATGTGTCTTGTCATGGCCAATGTTTTTAGTGATGGGCTATCTAGAACTGTTAACATATGCCTATCAAGGGTTCTGGTATTTGTTTTGGGTAGTGTGTTAGAAGTGAACAACATTTCATGATGATAACTTATGGAAAGGATATCTATGTCTGAATCGATACTGAATTTGGACATCTTAAATTACAAACATTTGTGTAATATAAAGCATAGTGAGACAGGAGGTAGAAAACTTAGCTTGTGATCTTAGCTCTGCCTCCTACTATTTGGATATGTAATCTATTCTTGAGTCTGAGTTTTCTCATGGGTAAAATGAGCATCTCGGATTTGGTGTATCTCTAAGGAGAACTCCAGTTCTAGGACTCTATGATCACTCTTCACTATATAGCTTCTGCTCCAAGTCGAAAGAAGTTTTGGAATACAGGAGTATGGAAGGTAGAAAGGAGGACAAATGAGTATTTAGAGATGACTCCCTCAGGATACAGTATCTGCATAGGAGGAAACCTGACTAAGCAAGTGACAGTTATCAGAGAAGATACACAGGGCAGAATGATATCTGTATTTTACTGCAACGGAAGGTACAGGCAGTGATGATTTCACTGGGTCTGTTGCTGCTGTAGGCTCCATCGTGTACAAAATGAACTGCTTGGTGATTTCTTCTGATCACCAGGATCACAGAACTAGGAAATACCAAATCTTGTCTTTCACCTAGCGGTTCAATAGTGAAGATTTGGGAACCTGATATAAATTAGGAATGTACTGAAAAAGAGACTTGAAAACCATTGTTTCAATCCAAGACTTGATATTTCCTGCCTTAAGATCCAGTATCGCTGTGTGACTAGGTAGTCAACTGGTGGAATTACATTAGATGGCCAGCCTATATTAAACCCAATACTGTCACCCCCTACATCTCTGTCTTCCAGGTATACCAGTGACTC